CAAGTCTTGTTTAAAACACGAGAATAGATAACTTCCAACTTCACACGATTATCAATCAATATCCCTGATACTTTCGTCCCAGAGATGCAGCTCCCTGAATAGAGTTTGAGTTTTTTTTTCCTGCGACTAACTGACCAATGAAAACTTGTTTGACTAAGACTCTCATTCTTATCGACTAACAGTTTAGTCAACTATTAAGGGACAGCCCTAATCCTTACTGTTGATGGAGATGGGTTGAAGTGAGGAGATGGCTGATGACGGTAGGAAGAAGAGAAGGGAATTTAGAATGGCAGGGTGGCGAGGCAGGCAGCTAAGCTGGCAGGCAGGCAAACAGGAATCTTAGAGCAGAGGAAGCAAACATGCATTAAAGTACCTAGTCATTGTGACATCAAAGTACATGAAAATAATACGTTAAAAATACCGAAACTATACTTTAATGTAGGTAACAAAAACATTATTATATAATTATTATTAGCTGCGAATTGGTGAGCTGATTAAAGACAGGTGTGCAGGTAGGCAGGATCAAGGTGAGCGGCAAGGCGGGGACGACACACCCTCACACACTGAGAGAAGACAGACAGGTGACACACCAGAAACACAAATAAGGGAGGTGAAAAACAACAGAAACATAAGGAGCTGGAGATGGCATCTTCAGTGGAACTGTTTGCCTTATAATAATAATAATCTGCACTCTGCGCATGCGTTGGCGTCTGTAGCCACCTGTCGGAAGCTCCGTCTTAAACTGGACTCTTATCCAGTTTTAATCCGCTCTTTTTCGTTACATTTTTTATATCCTTTTTATTTAACTTAAGTTTTATGTGGGTTAAGGATTTTAGTCATCCGACATGGATTTTAAGCTAGATGACCGTAAAAACGCGATCAACGCTACTGATCGCAACAAAGCTCCGTTGACTATGCTAGCCGAGATAACTCTGCCCCATGAGGACTGCTCACTCCTTAAGAAAGCGAACAAGAAGATTGCTGACCATAAGGAAGACATCTGACGACTTCCAGGGGAACTCAAAGAGAAAGATTCCCTGCTGACTGGCTTTATGGATGTGGCTTCAGTACAAGCCAAACAGATTGTTTCTCTTAGCGCAACCGCTAACATCCAGGACACCGTGTTTTGGGACCCCTCTAACCTTCCCAGGCTTTCCTCCTGCTCGACTCCGAAGCATCAGTCAACCTGGGCTGAAGTGGTGGTCCGTGGCTGCAAGAGAGGCTCGGATGGGGCTGCCTCTCCTCCGCACATCGGCCTCTCCAACCGCTATGCAGCCCTGTCTAACGACACTCCGGTCCATCCAGCGGATGCACCTGTGGCTTCGAGTCTCCCTGATACGGACCTCTCTCGGCGCACAGTGCCTGCCGACACTGTTGCATCTCCTCCACCGGCTACATGTCCTGCACTGGGCCGCCGGTCTGCCGCTGGGCCTGATCGGCGGCCGTCATCCCGGTCAAAAACCTCCGCTTCCCGACGTAGGATCCTGAAGGAGGCTGTGCTCAGACGCTCCGGAGGCCGTCTCTACCCTGCACCGTCGGGTAGCCCTTCTCTCAGGTCTGTTACTGCTACTCCAACACAACACTCGGCAGCTCACACACTCCATCCTCAGTCCGCACGCAGTGTTGAAGCAGATTCTGCTCAGTCCTGCTCTGGAACCCCACAACCGGCATCTCCTCGTCCTCTTTTCTCCCCAACCACACTAATAATTGGTGACTCCATAACCAGTAACATCCGTTTCTTTAACGCTACCACTCACTGCTTCCCCGGTGCCACCACGGCTGACATTTTAAAAAAACTCCAGGACCTGATGCCATCGCTCCCGTCCTCCATCACAAGAGTGATAGTCCGTGTGGGAACAAATGACACAGCTCTTCAGCAGTCTGAGCTGACAAAATCAGATTTTAACCGTCTTTTTAAAAGCAGTGTGGAAAGTCCGTTTTTATCTCTGGTCCCATTCCCACAGTTGGTCGGGGTGCTGGCCGCTTCAGTAGACTCCTTGGCCTCCACGACTGGCTCCAGTCCGCCTGCAGGGCTCATCGTGTGTGTGTTATGTGGATAATTTTAATATTTTCTGGCAAAGAATGTCTCTTTTTAAGACAGACGGACTTCACCCAAACAAACGGGGCTCAGAAATGTTAGCTGCTCACATACAGCATATGGTGCGGTCCACACATGATTTACGTGAATGACTAATCATTCATGCAGCACACCTGGACACACCACTGCTCACTGAACAGATCTCTGCCTCACTGCCACAAACAACTGTCTCCACCTGCTGGCATGTAAAGCCGTCTGCTCCCAGCGTTGTTCCAAAGACTTCTATTCCTGTCATCATCACGCATAGACCAGTAAACCAAAATGTGCACATCCCACACAGAAATAATAGTAATCTCTTAAGGATTAGGACAACTGCACCAACTCCAGCACCCAGAACAAACTCATTTAAAATGGCTCTCTTCAATGTGAGATCACTTTCAAGTAAGACTTTTATCTTAAATGATTTTATCTTGTCTGCTAATCTAGATTTTATGTTTTTAACTGAATCCTGGTTGCAAATGAATGACTATAGCCAGCTAGCTGAACTGTGTCCGCCTCAATATGATTGTTTTAGTCAACCGAGGGTCAGTGGTCGTGGTGGTGGGCTAGTGAGCATGTATAGGAGAAATTTTAAATGTCATCAACTACGCTGTGATGAATTTAACTCCTTTGAAGTTCTCACTCTTAAAGTTGGAGGGCTGCAACCTATCATATTTGTTATAATTTATCGCCCCCCAAAACCGCCTGGAGGATTTTTATCAGAACTTCCTGAGTTTTTATCTACTCTGGTTTTAAATTATGACAGAATTGTTCTTTGTGGCGATTTTAATATTCATGTTGATGACCCCACCAATGTTAATGCAACTTACTTTTTAAACATGGCCACTTCTTTTAACTTCAAACAACATGTCAAATGGCAAACACATAACTGTGGTCATACACTGGACTTGGTTTTTACCCTGGGTGTCAGCATTTCCTCTGTGGAATTAGTGGACATGACCATATCTGACCACAGATGTATTGTTTTTAGCTGCGATTCGCCTGTTACTCATGCTGCCTCACCAAGCTCCGTGTGTTCTCGCATCTTTAATGAACAAAGTGTTTCAAAGTTTTGCGCATTCTTTCAGAGCCAAAGCCAACATCTGTCTGATTCCAACACCAACAATCTGGTCGATCACTTCAATCATATCTGCTTGTCGTCACTAAATATTACTGCTCCTCTAAAGGTTAGGCCTACGTCTAAAGCTAATAAGCAACCCTGGATAAATGACAGCATTCGAAGCCTAAAAAGGGAATGCAGGAAAGCAGAGCGCAGATGGAAAAAATCCAGTCTCCAAGTCCATTACCTCAGTCTGAAGGATTTATTAATTAAATACAATAACTTGGTTAAGGATGCGAGAACACACTATTTTTCTGAACCGATTACTACACATAAACACAATCCCAGGTTTCTGTTTAAGACTGTGGATCAGCTGGTAAACCCAACTCCTCCTTGTGCCTCAGCTGGAAGTAATGATGACTGTGAATTGTTTTTATCTTATTTTACCAATAAGGTGGTGTCAATCAGAGCCTATGTTTTAGAATTGACTTTAAAATTCTATTGATCACTTTTAAAGCTCTTCATGGCCTCTCGCCTTGTTATATTTCTGACCTTTTAGTCCCATACACACCAGCACGTACCTTGAGATCCTCGGGCAGAGGTCTGTTGTCTGTTCCAGAGTCTCGACTGAAAACTAAAGGGGAGCGTTTGCTGTCAGGGCCCCGAGGCTCTGGAACAGCCTGCCCGAGGAAATCAGGTCGGCTGAGTCAGTGAACTCTTTTAAGTCCCTTCTTAAAACAACGATCTTATTTGACTTTATTTTATCCCTTTTATTTTATTGTAATTTACTAATTTTATATTTATCTTAAACGTGTATTTTAGTCTTTTCAATGTTTTTCATGCTTTTATCTTGTATTGTTTTTGTATTATTGTCTCGTGGGTATTATTGTCTTTACACTTGTTAAAGCACTTTGTAACTTGTTTTTGAAAAGTGCTCTACAAATAAAGATTATTATTATTATTATTATTATTATTAGTGTGCTCTCCAGCGTGGTCTCCGTTGCATTGTCTGCCATCTTTGGACTGCCAACTGTGAAGGAAGTTATAGTTTTCTGAATTTGTTTCACTTTTCCCTTGTGTGACTTTTTTCTTATGTCAGAAGATTTATTGTTAGGTGACTTATATTCAGGTTGAGCCCCTTTTTATTATTTATGGAAGGTTCAAATGTCTGTTAGGAAATGTCTATCTTAGGATATCTATCTATATATATATATATACACAGTATATGTACATTATTTTGTCAGAGCTTGTTTTTTCTCCTGTCAGTGAAGTCCAAAAGTCATGTTCCCTTTAACACTTATCATGTCAGTGGCCAGTAAACTACTAGAACCTTCGATACAGTAAGTGTCCATTAGAAAGCAGACATAAACAATGGCAAAACACAGCAATATATTTTTAAATGTTTATTACAGTTAAATTTAAAGCCATTTAGAGGTTAAGGTGAAGAGGTGGAGAGAAAAAAGAGGAGGTGGAGAGACATGGGGGGGGGGGGGGGGGAATTGGGGGATATAGGGGAGAGAAGTGGGGTACAGGGTTGGGGGTGGGGGGTTGAGGGGTTTCTGAGAAAGAGGAATGTTCTTCTCCTCCTTTACATCCTCATCCTTGACTGCAGTATCTTTACAGCCTTAGTGGCCTTAGTGTACTGCAGTATTATTAACATGGGAGATGAGCAATTTGCCAGCCTCACTGATGGCAGTGTTGGTGGATTAAGAGTAACAGGGTGTAGACCTCATGTAACCCAGTTAAATTTAAAGCCATTTAGAGGTTAAGGCGAGGAGGTGGAGAGAAAGAAGAGGAGGTTGAGAGACATGGGGAGGGGGGGGGGGGTAGTGGGGGTGAGAAAATAGGGGGATATGGGGGAGAGAAGTGGGGTACAGGGTTGGGGGTGGGGGGTTGAGGGGTTTCTGAGAAAGAGGAATGTTCTTCTCCTCCTTTACATCCTCATCCTTGACTGCAGTATCTTTACAGCCTTAGTGGCCTTAGTGTACTGCAGTATTATTAACATGGGAGATGAGCAATTTGCCAGCCTCACTGATGGCAGTGTTGGTGGATTAAGAGTAACAGGGTGTAGACCTCATGTAACCCAGTTAAATTTAAAGCCATTTAGAGGTTAAGGCGAGGAGGTGAAAGAGAAATAAAAAAAAAAGTTATTGTAAGGCCAGTTGCTGAAACTGGTCCCGATCTCCACACGTCAAGTCATCATCTGCACTTCTGCACAACAGCCGCTTCCAAAAAGGAGACCGCTCTGTCTTTTTCTCCTCCTTCTTCGCCTTCTTCTCATTCTTTTTGGGAAAGTTATAAAAACATCAGCACAGAAACACAAATTAACATCTACAGTCCAACAAAAAGCTAATCAGGATGTGTTCAAGTGAAAAACAATTAGGAAATAAGGTTATTTACAGAATGAAGTGAAGGAAAAATGCTGCAGAGATGTTGAGCTGCCTGAGACAGTTCATCGTGAATCTTTCATAGTGTCTCTGCTGGTTTGTTCCACCTGTTATATTTGGTCGGATCGGTCCAATCTATTCCTGTGTACTTTTAAAGTGTTCGTTCTTATTAGAATTTTCATGTAAATACATCCTTACCTTTGAGAAGAGATTGTGGAAGAAGCCTAAGAAACTGTTGCTCTTCTTTGCCTCCGTCTCCATGAAAGGCTGAGACGAGTCCACAGAGCTCTGGCGGAAGATTTCTTCATCCTCATCACCAGAGTTGATAGACTGATGAGGAAAAGAACTGCTCATCTCTTCCTGATCAAGTGGAACTGCCTGAATCTTTTTCCTTTGCCATCCACTGAAACACCTCTTCCACTGCGACTTCTTCCTCTTGCCTTTACATCCACTTGCAGGTGTCACCTCTTTACTGTCAAAATCAGAAACTTTGTCTGTCTGAATCCTCCTCCTCATTGCTGTGCCTTGTCCTGTGAGGAAGGATTTCATGGTTGAGATAGCTCCCTCCAAAGTTTTCTTGGCTGCTCTGTCATTTGTCACCTGGTCGCAGGCAGCAGCAGTGACACTGTGGCAACTTCTATCCAGAGAGACTTGTATGGCAACTGATAGGACAGAGTTGATCTCATTAATGACCTCTCCTGCTATGGCCTCTGTGAATTTGGGTGAAATCCTTCCAGTGGTGTCAGTCCCAAAGACATCACAGAGAGCCTGGCTGAAGGAACTTTCCAAACTTCTCTGCATGTTGTACTCAGTGATACCTAAGCTGTCAATGAGAGGTGCTGAAGACAAGGGACTCCTCAAGGTCATGGTGTCGTTATTTGAACTTTGATCCTGATGAATGGCTTGTAAGACTTGCTTAGTAACTGACTCTGAGATGAACCTCAGCACATCTGTGCACATGTCAGTCAGCTGCTCCTTCACATGTATATTATAGACGCCTTCGCTTACTTCCCTCCATTGCCTAACAAAAAAAGAACATGAAAAGAAAAGTTAAACATAGAAGAAAAATGTATTAATAAATGTATTTGAGTTTCCATAGGTAAATTGATAACCTACTCTGCAGTGAGACTCTGGAAAAATCTCCTTAGATAGACAGCGATGGTGGAGGAATTTAGAAAAAATTGCGTCTTTACAGCCTCAGTGGACTGCTGAAGCAACTGACCAGCTTCAGTGGTCTGCAGTGTCTTGGCGTCCTCAGTGGACTGCTGAAGCAACTGACCAGCTTCAGTGATCTTCAGTATCTTGGCGTCCTCGGTGGACTGCTGAAGCAACTTGCCAGCTTCAGTGGTCTGCAGTGTCTTGGCGTCCTCAGTGGACTGCTGAAGCAACTGACCAGCTTCAGTGATCTTCAGTATCTTGGCGTCCTCGGTGGACTGCTGAAGCAACTTGCCAGCTTCAGTGGTCTGCAGTATCTTGGCGTCCTCAGTGGACTGCTGAAGCAACTTGCCAGCTTCAGTGGTCTGCAGTATCTTGGCGTCCTCAGTGGACTGCTGAAGCAACTTGCCAGCTTCAGTGGTCTGCAGTGTCTTGGCGTCCTCAATGGACTGCTGAAGCAACTGACCAGCTTCAGTGATCTTCAGTATCTTGGCGTCCTCAGTGGACTGCTGAAGCAACTTGCCAGCTTCAGTGGTCTGCAGTATCTTGGCGTCCTCAGTGGACTGCTGAAGCAACTTGCCAGCTTCAGTGGTCTGCAGTATCTTGGCGTCCTCAGTGGACTGCTGAAGCAACTTGCCAGCATCAGTGGTCTGCAGTGTCTTGGCGTCCTCAGTGGACTGCTGAAGCAACTTGCCAGCTTCAGTGGTCTGCAGTGTCTTGGCGTCCTCAATGGACTGCTGAAGCAACTTGCCAGCTTCAGTGGTCTGCAGTGTCTTGGCGTCCTCAGTGGACTGCTGAAGCAACTGACCAGCTTCAGTGGTCTGCAGTGTCTTGGCGTCCTCAGTGGACTGCAGAATCCTGTCGGCCTCAGTGCACTGCTGCGTCTTGATAGCCTCAGTGGACTGCTGAAGTGTCTCGACAGTTTCAGTGGACTGCAGTATCTTGCCAGCCTCATTAATTATTTGGGAGACAAGCATTTTGCTTGCCTCAATGATGGCACGGGAAGAACTCCCACTCTCGTCTGACCTGACTGAAAGTCTTGAAGTTGATTCTTCCTCGGTGGTCCAGTTTTCTTCAAAGTCATCTGTCTCTGTCTCCATGTTCTCTGGATACAAGAACCTTTGACATACGTTTTTAATCTCCTCATCAATATTCTGATCAAATGATGTGATCATTTCTGAGACATCTGGGTCAGGGGAGGAACAACAACTAGAGTCAGTCATCCCGCCGTTCTCATTGATGTAAAACCAAGAAGAGGAATTTGTCGAGATGCTGTCCTCGTCCATGGAAGACCAAACAGAGGTACATGTTGATATGCGGTCCTCGCTGATGATGGGATGGGTGCAAGGGCAAGTGAGCTCTTCTTTGTCTGAAACATCATCACAATGCATCAGATCATCAAGATCCTCAGCAGTTTGATGGTTGGTTCCTGATACAGGGATGTTGGTAATCTCAGCAGTCTCTGAGTTCAAAGAGAACACAGGAGAGCTGGAGATTTTATCCATGATCTCTGCTTCTTTGTCCATGTTACTTGAATCAGAAATCTGTAGGAGAAACACAAACAATGGCAAATTACCTGAGCACTATAAAATGTACAAAACTAAGAAAATTGTTGACAACATACAGACTGAGGGGACACAGCCTGGCCATAGAAAAGGGTCACCACAAACAGAGCTGGCTACCAGAAGAGGAGAGACTGTGCTCCCAGTGTAACAGAGGACAGGTAAATACAGAGCTGCACTTTCTGACCTCATGCCCTAAATATAAAACCTTAAAAGAAAAACACTTCCCAAATACACCCCGAATTCAAATTTATACCAGACACACAGAAACTCCTCTATTTACTGGGAGAAATGCCAGAATGCTAAATCATTGCAGCAAAATATATCTTCTCATGTCATGAACTGAGGACAACCAGTGGAAACTCAGACTAGACTGATTCAAATTCAAATTATTATTATTTTCATTTTTTATTTTATTAATTGTTCTTTTGTTTTTGTTTTATTTCACATTTGATACAGATTTTTTAGTTGTTTTTTTATTTTCTTTTAATTTATTTGTTTTTATTTATGAATTTAATTCAAACATTTAATATTTTATTTTAATTTAAAAGATAGCTAGATAGATTCTTTTAGATTCTATAGATTTTATCGAGATCAATTCGTTTTTTTCTTCTTCTTTAAAAATAAGTTGTCTCATCTGTATCACACAGCACCCTATGAAATGTGATGAATTGACTCAAGGTTTCTCTCATTGTCACATTATACAATATTTCTACATGAAATCAATTTACTTACAAGCAGAAGTGATTAAATATGCATACATCAATACCAGTTATATGTTGATTATTCAGATATTTAGCCTGTAAAGTTTTCATCTTGTTTGTGACAGATGAACTGTAGCTGCCTTTCCCACAGCTCACACTGAAACTCACTCACTGCTGCTGTTTAACAGAATTTCCTTGACTGAATAGTCTTCATCACCTTTTTATGCATTTTAAATTTTGCAAATGAATCTCTAAACCAATTTAGTGCTTAATCTTCTATAAAGTGTATTTACTTACCGGTCTCTGGTGACCTGGTTTTCCGTATTTTGTGTTTGGTTTTCTTTCTTTCGTTTTACTCAGTTGGAGTAGTTGTTTTCCTGTTGTGGATAAATGTTTGTAGTTTAGTGCAGGTAATCTCTCTGTAGCATTCACTGTGGAGAAGCAGGTCTGAACTGAATCATCTGGATCAGTCTGCAGGGCAGAACACTGACAAACCGTGAGGTCACAGAACTCTGTGTGTTCTAATAGAGCTTTTGTTTGCACTCATTAATTACATTTGAATTTATTATTTTTATTTTAAAATATTACATTCAAATATTTACATTCAAATTAATATCTATACAAACGTGTGTGTGTGTGTAGAGAGAGATACAGAGGTATTTAAGCATGTAACAGCACCATCCGTGGTTGGATTTTCGGATGCCACTCCCCTTTTTTCATCCCCATGTTCCCTGTCTTTCTCCTCAGTCTGGTTAAAAAATGTATTTTGTCATGTAACACTTTTCATGAAGAGGGTAGAGATTAACAGAGACTAGATTTAGATTTAGATTTAGTTTATTTCTGTTTACCATTTTTCATAATGGATTCTTTATTAATGTATATTGTCTGCTATGTAGCAGAAGGGAGTTACAAAACTCAATTTCACTCTATGACTTGTTATATTGTGACAATAAACCTACCTACCTACCTACCTATCTAACTATCTTGGCCAAGTGTGTCTGAGGGTGTGTGGGTGATGAATAGGGCAGGACAGGGTGTGTGGAATGAAGAGGAGACAAGAGGCAGGTTACATTATCAAAGTGTGAAAATGCCAACAAAGGAATCCGTCAATACTAACGTAAGTTGTCCCTAGCAGAAACAAATCATTGCAGCAAAATACACTCACCTAAAGGATTATTAGGAACACCATACTAATACTGTGTTTGACCCCCTTTCGCCTTCAGAACTGCCTTAATTCTACGTGGCATTGATTCAACAAGGTGCTGAAAGCATTCTTTAGAAATGTTGGCCCATATTGATAGGATAGCATCTTGCAGTTGATGGATATTTGTGGGATGCACATCCAGGGCACGAAGCTCCCGTTCCACCACATCCCAAAGACGCTCTATTGGGTTGAGATCTGGTGACTGTGGGGGCCATTTTAGTACAGTGAACTCATTGTCATGTTCAAGAAACCAATTTGAAATGATTGGAGCTTTGTGACATGGTGCATTATCCTGCTGGAAGTAGCCATAAGAGGATGGGTACATGGTGACCATAAATTGATGAACATGGTCAGAAACAATGCTCAGGTAGGCCGTGGCATTTAAACGATGCCCAATTGGCACTAAGGGGCCTAAAGTGTGCCAAGAAAACATCCCCCACACCATTACACCACCACCACCAGCCTGCACAGTGGTAACAAGGCATGATGGATCCATGTTCTCATTCTGTTTACGCCAAATTCTGACTCTACCATCTGAATGTCTCAACAGAAATCGAGACCAGGCAACATTTTTCCAGTCTTCAACTGTCCAATTTTGGTGAGCTCTTGCAAATTGTAGCCTCTTTTTCCTATTTGTAGTGGAGATGAGTGGTATCTGCTGTTGTAGCCCATCCGCCTCAAGGTTGTGCGTGTTGTGGCTTCACAAATGCTTTGCTGCATACCTCGGTTGTAACGAGTGGTTATTTCAGTCAAAGTTGCTCTTCTATCAGCTTGAATCGGTCGGCCCATTCTCCTCTGACCTCTAGCATCAACAAGGCATTTTCGCCCACAGGACGGCCGCATACTGGATGTTTTTCCCTTTTCACACCATTCTTTGTAAACCCTAGAAATGGTTGTGCGTGAAAATCCCAGTAACTGAGCAGATTGTGAAATACTCAGACCGGCCCGTCTGGCACCAACAACCATGCCACGCTCAAAATTGCTTAAATCACCTTTCTTTCCCATTCTGACATTCAGTTTGGAGTTCAGGAGGTTGTCTTGACCAGGACCTCACCCCTAAATGCATTGAAGCAACTGCCATGTGATTGGTTGATTAGATAATTGCATTAATGAGACATTGAACAGGTGTTCCTAATAATCCTTTAGGTGAGTGTATATCTTCTCATGTCATGAACTGAGGACAACCAGTGGAAACTCAGACAAGACTGATTCAAATTCAAATTATTATTCTTTTCATTTTTTATTTTATTAATTGTTCCTTTGTCTTTTTTAAAATTTCACATTTGATACAGATTTTGTAGTTGTTGTTTTTTTATTTTCTTTTAATTTAGTTGTCTATATTTATGTACAGACACACACTTACTGTTTTATTTATTAATTTAATTCAAACATTTAATATTTTATTTTAATTTAAAAAATAGCTAGAAAAATAGATTACATCTATAAGATTCTTATAGATTCTATAGATTTTATCGAGATCAATTCTTATATAAATACAAATATGATATTCCTCATATTTCTTTGTAATTTTTTCAGTTTTTTTCTTCTTCTTTAAAAAGAACTTGTCTCATCTGTATCACACAGCACCCTATGAAATGTGATGAATTGACTCAAGGTTTCTCTCATTGTCATATTATACAATATTTCTACATGAAATCAATTTACTTACAAGCAGAAGTGATTAAATATGCATACATCAACACCAATTATATGTTGATTGTTCAGATATTTAGCCTGTAAAGTTTTCATCTTGTTTGTGACAGATGAACTGTAGCTGCCTTTCCCACAGCTCACACTGAAACTCACTCACTGCTGCTGTTTAACAGAATTTCCTTGACTGAATAGTCTTCATCACCTTTTTATGCATTTTAAATTTTGCAAATGAATCTCTAAACCAATTTAGTGCTTAATCTTCTATAAAGTGTATTTACTTACCGGTCTCTGGTGACCTGGTTTTCCGTATTTTGTGTTTGGTTTTCTTTCTTTCGTTTTACTCAGTTGGAGTAGTTGTTTTCCTGTTGTGGATAAATGTTTGTAGTTTAGTGCAGGTAATCTCTCTGTAGCATTCACTGTGGAGAAGCAGGTCTGAACTGAATCATCTGGATCAGTCTGCAGGGCAGAACACTGACAAACCGTGAGGTCACAGAACTCTGTGTGTTCTAATAGAGCTTTTGTTTGCACTCATTAATTACATTTGAATTTATTATTTTTATTTTAAAATATTACATTCAAATATTTACATTCAAATTAATATCTATACAAACGTGTGTGTGTGTAGAGAGAGATACAGAGGTATTTAAGCATGTAACAGCACCATCCGTTGTTGGATTTTCGGATGCCACTCCCCTTTTTTCATCCCCATGTTCCCTGTCTTTCTCCTCTGTCTAGTTAAAAAATGTATTTTGTCATGTAACACTTTTCATGAAGAGGGTAGAGATTAACAGAGACTAGATTTAGATTTAGATTTAGTTTATTTCTGTTTACCATTTTTCATAATGGATTCTTTATTAATGTATATTGTCTGCTATGTAGCAGAAGGGAGTTACAAAACTCAATTTCACTCTATGACTTGTTATATTGTGACAATAAACCTACCTACCTACCTACCTACCTACCTATCTAACTATCTTGGCCAAGTGTGTCTGAGGGTGTGTGGGTGATGAATAGGGCAGGGCAGGGTGTGTGGAATGAAGAGGAGACAAGAGGCAGGTTACATTATCAAAGTGTGAAAATGCCAACAAAGGAATCCGCCAATACTAACGTAAGTTGTCCCTAGCAGAAACAAATCATTGCAGCAAAATACAGTATATCTTCTCATGTCATGAACTGAGGACAACCAGTGGAAACTCAGACAAGACTGATTCAAATTCAAATTATTATTATTTTCATTTTTTATTTTATTAATTGTTCCTTTGTCTTTTTTAAAATTCACATTTGATACAGATTTTGTAGTTGTTGTTTTTTATTTTCTTTTAATTTAGTTGTCTATATTTATGTACAGACACACACTTACTGTTACTGTATTTATTAATTTAATTCAAACATTTAATATTTTATTTTAATTTAAAAAATAGCTAGAAAAATAGATTACATCTATAAGATTCTTATAGATTCTATAGATTTTATCGAGATCAATTCTTATATAAATACAAATATGATATTCCTCATATTTCTTTGTAATTTTTTTCAGTTTTTTTCTTCTTCTTTAAAAAGAACTTGTCTCATCTGTATCACACAGCACCCTATGAAATGTGATGAATTGACTCAAGGTTTCTCTCATTGTCATATTATACAATATTTCTACATGAAATCAATTTACTTACAAGCAGAAGTGATTAATTATGCATACGTCAACACCAGTTATATGTTGATTGTTCAGATATTTAGCCTGTAAAGTTTTCATCTTGTTTGTGACAGATGAACTGTCGCTGCCTTTCCCACAGCTCACACTGAAACTCACTCACTGCTGCTGTTTTACAGAATTTCCTTGACTGAATAGTCTTCATCACCTTTTTATGCATTTTAAATTTTGCAAATGAATCTCTAAACCAATTTAGTGCTTAATCTTCTATAAAGTGTATTTACTTACCGGTCTCTGGTGACCTGGTTTTCCGTATTTTGTGTTTGGTTTTCTTTCTTTCGTTTTACTCAGTTGGAGTAGTTGTTTTCCTGTTGTGGATAAATGTTTGTAGTTTAGTGCAGGTAATCTCTCTGTAGCATTCACTGTGGAGAAGCAGGTCTGAACTGAATCATCTGGATCAGTCTGCAGGGCAGAACACTGACAAACCGTGAGGTCACAGAACTCTGTGTGTTCTAATAGAGCTTTTGTTTGCACTCATTAATTACATTTGAATTTATTATTTTATTTTAAAATATTACATTCAAATATTTACATTCAAATTAATATCTATACAAACGTGTGTGTGTGTGTAGAGAGAGATACAGAGGTATTTAAGCATGTAACAGCACCATCCGTGGTTGGATTTTCGGATGCCACTCCCCTTTTTTCATCCCCATGTTCCCTGTCTTTCTCCTCAGTCTGGTTAAAAAATGTATTTTGTCATGTAACACTTTTCATGAAGAGGGTAGAGATTAACAGAGACTAGATTAACAAAGACTACAGATCAGGAGATAAAACAAGATTTTTATTATTCAATATAAAGAAAGAAGTAGAGATAACAGAGAGTGCACTCAGCAGAGTGCAGATCTTGTCAGCTTTTATAGAGTAGCAATAGAAAGCATCCTGACTGGAAAAATCACAAACTGGCATGGGATGTGCACGGCCCAGGACCGGAGGGCTCTGCAGCAGGTGATTAATACTGCTCAGAAGATCATTGGTACTCATCTCCCGAGAATCCGTGATATTGG